AAAATTATATCTTACTTTAATAAAAAGACAAGACAATACAAGTGTTGGCCAATATGTGCAGAAATTGGAACCCTCGTATATTGCTTTTGGGGATGTAAACGATACAGCCACTTTGGAAAACAGTTTGGCAATTCTTAAAAAGGCTAGATAGACATAAGAGGTACCATATGACCTAGCAATTTTTCTTCGATCCGAGAGAAATGAAAACATATGTCTACACAAAATCTTGTACACAATTGTTCATAGCAGCATTATTCACAATGGCAAAAAAGTGGAAACAACCAGATGTCTAGTAATGGATGAATGGAAAAATAAAATGAAGTGTGTATATATATATCCATACAATTGAACGTTATTTAGCAATAAAATACTGAAATACGGATACATGTTACAACATGGATGAGGCTAGAAAACATCCACATATTATCTGATTCCAACCATAGAAAATAAACAAAACTGACAAATCTGTAGAGGCAGGAAGTAGATTGGTAGTTTCCTAGGACTGGAGGGCGGGGTGAATGGGATGTGTGATTAGGGGTAACAGATTTCTTTTTCAGGTGATGATTATGATCTAAAATTAGATTGGGGTATGGTTATACAACTCTATAAATATACTAAGAGCAACTGAATTGTACACTGTAAATTTAAAAATTGTTTTAATAAAGCTATTAAAAAAGATACATCATCTTTAGAGTGCAGTGAGAAAAACTGCAACTCAAATTCCATATTCAACAAAACATCCTTCCAAAATGATGGCAAAATAAAGTTATACAGTTACCTGAATATTTTTCACAAACGTCCTTGTGCCTCAAGAGGCTCCTAAGAATTCAGGGGGAAATTATGTATTTATATGATCACATATGTAAGATCCATATAATTATACACACAATTGACTCTTGAAGAACTTGCTGGTTAGGGACACTGTCCCTGCACAGCTGAAAATCCATTCATCCCTTTTAACTCCCCAAAAACACATTTTGAGAAATATTAAACTGCTTTCCCTCTCTACTTTCTGTAACATAAAAATATAATATTCACTTGTCAAGGGGAATAATGCTTTACAAGAGGGGTTGGCAGTTAAGACCTGGACCAAATGTGGCCTGAGGCCTGTTTTCATATGATTGTCAAGGTAAGGGTGGTTTTTATGTTTTAAAGGGTTATCATTCATTCACTACACATTTATAAAGCACCTATTCTGTGCCAGGAACTGTTGTAGATACTGGGCATATAGCAGTGAACAAAAGAGATACAGATATAATATGCCAGAAGATGATCAAGTACTATGCAGAAAAACAAAACCCTAAAAAAGGGAAAATTTATATACAAACATCTCAACTCTTACTACACCTCGGTGATGTAGTCATTTTGTTTTTTAAACAGAGAAATTTCCTGTTTGTTAGAACGCACTTCACTAGCAGCAACTCCCAGATTCAATAGGGTCATAGAAGGCTTCAATCAGCAAATCATGTGCACCTAGCCCTAAAGAATAAATGTCCACCAAGTCACAAATGAGGACGAGTACAAGCAAGTGTGTGCAGTTGTCCAAGTACAGGGCAAGTGTGGTGTAAAGTCAGGTTACAATGTACAAAAGCTCCAAGGGGCCAGGAAGGACATTTTATCGTCNAGCAACTTGTCTGTTCCCCTTCCCCCAATTCCCCAGCACTGTTCCCATCCCCCCAATTCCCCAATAAAAATCTTAAAAAAAAAGAAATATTCGCAAACACATATTGATAAAAGACTCAAATCCAGAATACATAAAGAACTACAACTCAATAATGAGACAAAAAACAAAACAACAACAAAATACCCTACCTATCATATTAGGGAAAAGACATGAACAGACATTTCACGAAAGCAGATACATTAATGGCAAAAAGCTCGGAAGGCACTCAGCATCTCTAGTCCTCAGGGAAATGAAAATTAAAACCACCACAAGATGCCACAATGCTCTTACTAGAATAAATTAAATAAAAAGCTTGAAAACCCCAATTGTTTGAGGGATGCAGTATATAAATTAGAACTCTCATACACTGGTGATGGGAATTTTAAATGGTACAAACGCTTAGGAAAACAGTTTGGGAGTTTCTTATAATCTTAAATACATACTAACTATATAACCCAGCAATTCTATCCCTGGTATTACCCAAAAGAAAACATATATCCATACAAAATTTGTACAAGCATGTTTATGGCAGCTTTAATCATAGAGCCCAAATCCTGAAAAAAAAAACCCCCACAAATATCTAACAGAGGAATGGATAAACCAAAAAAAAAAAGAACTACTAATACACAAAAAAACAGGAATAAATTCTAAAAACTTTATGCTGAGCAAGTGGACAGCCAGAAAAGAATACATGCTCCATGATTCTATTTATATGAAATTTTGGAACAGGCAAAACTTATGTATAGAAACGGCACTCAGTTTGGAAATTTTGCCCTCCCCTTCCCTGACCTAAACATGTTTAGTTGTCAAAACTTGGGTGATGGGGTTGGTGGTGGTTGTCACTGGCATCTAGTGGATAAAGAGGCCAGGATGCTGTTAAACATTCTTGAAAAGTGTGTGTGTATGTGTGTGTGTGCGCGTGCTCATGGACCTCCAGTACCTAAAACAGGTGCAAATAAATAAGTATAATAGAAAAGCAGAGGTGCACATAAATATTTGATTGCAGTTAAATTGTGATTTGTTTGATCACAGGAGTTATTTCAAGAAATTATAAATATGATGCAAAGGCGATTAGAAATAAATTTTTACCCTAAAACACCACTAAAATATAAAAAGAGTTTAAATTATAAACAACTTTTTCTATATAAAGTTTTTAAGAGAAATTTTCACCACAGACAGTGATCTCAACCATAATAAGGTATGAGAAGATTATGAAATTCTTTTAAATTAAATAGAATAAAGTTATGAAGAATAACTCATTTCATTACACTAATACAGTAGAAAAAGAGCAGATGCAATCCAGTTATGCTCAACAGTAGGCCAGGGACTGTAACAAAGTGTAAGGATATAAATATGTCCCTTGAAGAAGTGACTATCTAATGGAGAAAAATGATATTGTCAACAAATCAGATACAAAAGAGTTAAAGGCTATGGTTGAGATTTGAAAGTAGCACAATGAAAGAACGCAGCAACTAAGCAAGCACAGGGAGTATGGAAAGCATTTGCAAGTGTCTTTTAAGCTGGGTCTTGAGTAAGCAGTAGAGCTTGTCAGGTGACAATCATTATTAGATAATTTAGAAATCTTCAAACAAAAAACCCAACTGCATAAAAATTTTGTTACACTGCCCTGTTACATTTTATAGTCTTAAAGGCCATCAATGAGGAAATCTTTTTCTGAAGAGGAAGATTGTCTACATATTGAGTAAGGTAAATTATACTTACTGAGAAAATTCCATATCTAAGGGGGAAATCTGTTTAGCATTTACCCTGATAGAAAACGCACTGCATTTTCACTACATCTAAGTTTGGTATTATAAGTCTCTGGTACCATTCAAAAGTATAGAGACAAAATTAGGGCACAATGAGACTACAATTTGAAAATTGTATGTTTAATATTTGTTAGTAAATTCGTTACCCTCATATAACACAATAAAACATCTCATACCATCCATAAGGGAAAATCTAAGATTCCTCCCAAAGGAGGAGACTGGGAATCCAGTATACATCCTTGGTACTAGGTTTTCAAGCCATAAAAAAAACACTTTTAAATATATCATGAATGAGATAAACGATTTTCCTGTACTGCTAAAAATGATTTTAACAAGGAAGAAAAGTAAATTCCCAACTCATGCAGAATAAAAAGCCTGCGGGTGGTGGGACCACGAGATAAAAACCGCAGGCAGAACTTGCCTACCCTGCTCCTTAGATTTCCCCTAATTTTGGAAACTACTGAAATTAAGGCATCGAAATTGACTTGACTTAAATTGACTTTATGTAAACAGAACACATTTCATGCAGTGGAAAAACCCAATTTTTGAGTGAGACAATCATCCCAAAGACAAAAGGGTCTTCGATGGATCTGACTTTGCAGAGAGCAACAACATTGCCTGTTCTTTTCTCTCTTGACTTTCAAAGAGCAACAACATTACCTATTCTTTTCTCTCTTGACTTTCAAAGAGCAACAACATTGCCTATTCTTTTCTCTCTTGACTTTCCGTCAAAGAATTGCTGCGAACAATTTAAGTGCCACGATTTCCTGGTAGTGGCGATTCAGGAAATTGGAGAAAAAGGAAAAATGATTAAAGCTCAGATAAGCCAGTTCGCAAGGAGCCCTGTGGAGTCCCGTAATAGAGCCAGTGAACTAGAAACGCTGGATATTTTTATAGATACCGACACCAACAGGGGAGCGCAAGTCCAGCCAACGGCTGGAGGCAGGCGGAGTGCAGTCACCGCCAGGTCGTTTCGCTTTCATCGCAAAAGACCCCCAACAACCTGCAACTGTGTCTCTAAAATGCTCCTAATGTTCAGTACCAGCCCCCCAAACACCCCCTCCCCCCACAATCCTAACAACACTGCAGGAGAGACACGCTGCATTCACTTACTGAGCTGTCCCCCGCCCGACGTCGTACTCGGCTCTCGACCTCCTGCGCCTCCGAAGCCAACAGCTCCAGGGATCCCCGGCGCCCCCATCCCCGGAGGGGTCCCACTCTGTCTCTCGAAGTTGCCCGGATTGGAGAAGTAGTCGCGCAGCCGAGGCAGCTCACGGCCGCTCTCTAACAGCTCCGTGTGCAGCTCCAGGGCGGTCAGCAAGTATTGATCGCGCAACAGCTGAGCCGCGATCGCATCAATTGACAATCGGGCCGGGGTCTCCCCGCTGCCCCCCAGTGCCACCGCCGCCGCCGCCGCCGCCTCCCCAGGGAGCCCTGGCCGTGCACTGCTCCCTAAGGCCACGGGATCCTGGGGCGATAGCGAGTCTGCAGAGCCAGGATCTAGGCCGCCCGCGGAACCCAGCCGAAGTCCTGCCCGCCGCTCCTCGGTCGTCGATACCTCGTCGTCGTCCTCGTCCGAATCACTGAGGAACGGATTCACGCCGCCGCCGCCACTGCCACTACCTCCAGGCGCCATCGCCGCCATCTTATTCTGTCAAGAGTGTGGGCACCTCCCTGACTGGGTCTGACAGGCCGCAGCCTGTATCTCCCCCTAAGCCCCAGCGGGCGCTGCGCACCCCCACAGTCCCGGCCTGGCTACGTCCCGTCTCCCCACCTAGAGACCAGGCGTAAGCTCAGAGGCACAAGGTCCGGATGCAGCAACACCCACTGCCTCCGCCGATGCTGCACCAGCAGCCCGGCTCTGCAGGCGTCTTCCTGGTCTCCAGTCTCGCGAGAGATGGCGCGCGTCCTGCCCCCTTTCTCCCCGCCCCCGTCCTGCCTCCACCCCGCCCAGCCCCGTCTGTTCTTAGCACCAGCAAGCAAAGCCGCTCTTGGCTCAAAGGCGAAGCTCCGCCCCCACTCGTGTGTGATTGGCCAGAGGAAGATGGAAGGGGCTGGAGTTACCGAGGACCGGTCTTACAATTATCGCGAGAGCAGTAGTTAGCCAGGTAGGTGTCGGGGAGGCGTTCCGCGGTTGGGAGGGGGGTTATGACTGTGGTGTAGGAACATTGGCTTGGTTATCCTTTCAGGAGGCAGAGGAGAATTCGGCCGAAGAGTTGAGTCCTGCTTTCGCGCCGAGGCGGCCTCATTCCCGAGGTCAGACCTGATCCGGACAAACCCCAGGTAAAATCCGGGGACCAGTGCGCAAAGGTGCGGTGGCACCGAAACTGGCCCTACGGCCACGGACGCGCTGCTTCCTTAGGACGCTTCACTTTTTCTTGCTGTTTGCTGACAGTTGGTAACATTTGCTCCGCACGTGTAGCAGGCGCCCAGGGCAGTAGTTAGAATTTGGTGTCGTTTCTTTTCCTTCCGTTGCCAGCCACGTGCCTGCTTCCCTGGAGGCCTGGCGACAACACTGGCTTCTTGCATTTCTGGAGAGAGCCTTCTCGCTTCCTAGTTAGTGCTATAAAAAGGCAAGGTGGGGTGGGGCCCGAGGGGTGGAGCGATTCAATGGAAAGTGGATTTGCTTGGATCTGTGTTACCCTGATAGCGTCTGCTTGGATCTGTGATACCCTGAGAGCTCCTACTTGGATAACAAGCTGTTAGGGGCTCAATAAACACATAGGATTTAATGCAAAGTTTGCGCAACAGGGACCCTTCAAAATAGCAAATATGCAGCCCCATGAATAGAGAGATAAGTAAATGTAAGCCTAGAAATGTTTATTGACCTGGTCAAGTCAACTCCACTTACATGTATTCAGAGGAGCTAAAATCAGTTCTCTTAACCTCCAAAGCCATTTTTCTCCCACGATGCCTTGCAATTGTCCATTTAGGCTGAAATTCAGATATTGACTGTGAAACTTAATTATTTTAAAACTTAAGTGCTTTAGACAATTTTGATTTTCTTTATCGAATGTTAGCACATAAAGTAAGTGTACTAAGTTTGGAAGTTCAACGTTTATCTTTTATGTCGTTCCTTGATTACAATCCAAGGTGGTAAAGGGGATATTATTAGCTTCTGGCCAACAGTATTAGAACGCTGTTCCTAAGAGCTGCTGTTTTCTTCACAAATTGCCACTTTTGCAGGTTTAAGATTTCCTTTCTTTCTGTATAGCTTCCTTTAAGTACCCAATAAATAGCAGAAATTAATGTTATCAGGTAAGTTACATATTACATTAAAGCAGTAAAGTATCTCCTTTAGCTCTGTGGAAAAATTAAAATAGAGCATTCTTATATAACCTGGCAGGTCAGGTTATTGGTTTACATGTAAAGGTATGCCAACAGTTAAATGTAGGCTGTAATTTCAGTTTACTCAGACTCAGTAAACTACAATTTTCATTTGAATAAGGCTTTGGTTTTTTTTGTTTTGTTTTTGCTAGAAGTTGTTATCTCATTGTTAGTACTAAGAATTCAAAACAAAATTTATAAAACATTAGCTCCTAATGTTCAAATTCTAAATATTTTTCTGTGCCATTCATTTAAAAAACATTAAAATAATTCTTGATCTTAGAAAACTAGCATCAAAATTGCTCATGCTGTATCCTGTTACATATTTCTTAGCAAAAAAAAGATTGTTGATCCTTACTGTAATTGAGCTTGCCAGAGAGATTGAAATTGGAACCAATTTCTGGAATGGAGGAATGGGAAGGATTAATCAATGGCAGGGAAAGAGCATCATTAAAAATGGACATTTTATATACAATATTTCCATCTCTGTAATGAAGAATTTTAGAAATCTTCTGCATTTAGGGTTCCTGAAGAGGATTGTTCTTATTAGATGGAATTGCCTAAAGTTTAAATCCCAGCTATACTACTTACTTGCTGTGAGACATTAAAAAAGTTACTTAATTTCTCTCAGCCTCTCTTATAGTCATCTATCTGTCAAGGAGGTAATGAAAGCACACAGAATTATGCTTGTCACAGTGCCTGGCACTTAGTATACCATACAAGTTATTCTGATAGTTATCAATTAATGCAATATTAGTATATATTGAGAATATTTGACAGGTTTTTAAAATTAAAGCAAATATCAACTTGTTTAGCAGCAAAAGCTGGAAAAAGCAATGAAATCTGCAGGGCCCAGAGGGAATAACTTCAATTTAGGGTCTGACTTCTAGAATGTAAGTTAAAAATAAATGTAAAATGTGTTTCCTTAGAGAATTGTAAGAAGTTGGATGTAGAAGTTCTTCGTGATTGGCTTCCTATATAAACCTGTAGTTTCCTGTTTCCACTTCGTAGTCTCTAATCATGGACTTGTTTATATGACCTTCCAAGCCCATAACAAATCAACTGGCCAGTCTTCTCCGTAAGTACCTTTGCCCCCTACAATACATACAGGTGTATTTATCAACTAAAAATGTTTAAGACATAGCACATATTAGAATATTAAAATTGCTGGTCTTTACTTAAAATAACAGTATTAATATTTTGGGAATTTGTTTCTGCTTAGCAAGATTTGCATTCATGTAGGTCTTATAGCTAATGTTTCATTGAATAATCAGAACAGTCATTGAAGTTTGTATCTTAGTGATGAAAATGTAAGATTGCTTTTTTTCCAAGTACTTAAGTCATTTTAGTGTTTAAAAATTATTTTTGGCTTTAATAGTTTTAAAAATAATCACAAGAACATTTTAAATGCAAGCTTTGGTTGACTTAAAGTCTTAGAAATATCTAATTTTTTTAATGTGTAGTAAACATTCCACGGGCAAAAACTTTTATTGGTACATGGATATGTGCCTTTTAAAATTTGTAGTAGTTATTTATTTTGAGAGGTTTCTAAATGACTCAATCATAACAGGTTTCTTTTTCAATAAATCGGAATAAAATGTGATTCTGTTTAAAGAGACATGTTAATAATATTGCTTAATATACATGTGCTTGGCAATAATACAGTAAGTAGTATGTGAAGGATGAAATTTGGGATCTCTGCCATTTTACGTATAGATGACTTAAGCATAAAAGTTTTGTGTCTTTTTCATGTATCATGAATCTTCACAGTTCATGTGTGTGTTCTGGAGAAATAAAAAGAGAAGCAAGGCAGTCTCTAGTGGCCAATAGAGCATATTACATGTACTTTTGAAATGATAATCCTAAATAATTTATTCAGTAAACATTTGAGTCCTTACTACATGCCTAAGACTGATGAATGATGGAGAAGCCTTGTCTTGCTGTCATGAAATTGTGGGTAAGTGATAGAGACAGACAGTAATCCAAATAGTCAAAGACAGAGTTATGTACCATATTTTGCCGTAATGCGCACCCACATTTTTGGCCCAAACTTTCAGGGAAAAAAATTTTTTGTTTTAATTTTTTAATTCAAATGTTTATTTGTTTATATTTAGGTACTATTTTTTTGTATTATAAAGGATTTTTAGCATTTATTTTTTAACATATTATGGTTCAAGAAATTTATGTATTTATTTATAGACTGGCTTCAGATGCTCTCCCACAGACAGTTTGATTTTGGCAGTTAATGGCATATACTTTATTATTAATAAGTATTATTATTTAAATGTGTCACATTGCTTAGTTGTCCCTCCTGAGTTTTATAAACTCATCAGATCTGTGACTGTGTCTTCTTGGTTCCTCTGTAGTACTGCACACAATTCTGCACATAATATGTACACAGAACTTATTGAATCAGTGAATGAGTGTAACCTTTTTTGGATTGGTTCAGGGAACTAAAATAAACTGTTCCCTTAATAAGTACAAATTTTCTGAAGCACAGATAAAATGTAACTACTTTTTCTTCCTACAATTTTGCTAACTGAGCAATGGTGTCTGCTAAGCTTGGTGATAGTCAAGAGAATCTAGAAGTCTCCTGAGCTGATAGCCAAGAGTCGAAAAAAATCCAGACACATTGAGATGATGTTAAAATTCTGAGAATATCAATGGTTGTCGTCATATGGGTAGCACCATGAATTATATTTTCTGTTTTATACAGGATTTGATTACTGAACCCTAATTCATTTGGTTCTTTGTTTTTTAATCTTATGTTCATTTTTATGAGCTTAATATACCTTTAATTTTATTATAAATAGTTTATTGGAGCGAATTGCTTATTCTTGAACATGTTGAGTGTACTTTATCATGTATTTTATTTCAGTATTATCTCATTATTAAAAGTTTATTGTTACCACCATAAATGAAGTTGTGAGTTATGTAATATTCTAAAATAATACATTCAATCTACTTGTAGTCATCAAGATATGTGAAAATGTATAGCATAAGAAATTGAGTCATTGGAATTGTAACAGCTTATACATGTTAGAGAGATAGTAAATTGGGGGAGATGGGCTATCACTTTGTGAGGGGTGTAAATCTCTATTACATTGTTTTATATACCTGAAAGTAGTAATAAAAAATAAAAATAAAAAAAGATATGTGAACATATATAATGGCAATAAGGTTTACCCAAATTTAATTTCGTTCCCTCTTGCAGCTTTTCTCGAAGGTTAATTGCTTACACCGGATATGCTGCTCTTCTTCATTGTGGGATTGCTCGTGCATTTTGTGTTCTTCGCCTCCATCTTTGACATTTATTTTACATCTCCTCTGGTTCACGGGATGACGCCACAGTTTACACCATTGCCTCCTCCAGCAAGAAGATTAGTGCTCATCGTGGCTGATGGCCTGCGAGCAGATGCACTTTATGAATTCGATGAAAATGGAAACCCTATGGCGCCATTTATTAGGTAAGCATGTCAGCTGAACAAAGACATCTCTGGAACATGTCCAGATACTGTTTATCTCATCACGTGGAGCACAGGAATGATGATGAGAAAGAGAGTAGCACGTTTACTTCCTCCGGGAAGTTATTTCGATTACCCCGGAAGTTGATAGCAGGTGAACCGAAATGTATGGCTTTAGCTGCTTGGTCAACCTTGTCCTGATTTCCCGAACCTACCTTACAATGCACTATATTATCTTTTTCTTATAAAATAAGCCTGTTAAAGTTTTAAAATAATGCCAGGCATAAATATTAATGAATTGCCAATTACAATGATGTTAACTACAAATAGACTTCAACTCAAAGTGCACCTTCTATACTAAAGCCCTTCTAAGCCTCTGTTGCTGTTTCATATAATTTTAAATTCTATCAAGTGGCTTTGAAAAGAAATGTTTACTTTTGTTGACTTAAGGAGTTCCCACAATTGTTCTTTTTCTGATTAGTGGCAAGCCCCTCAAAAGCCCTTCTGAACGCTGCTGTGGAGAGATTAAAACTCAAATTCAAATGGAAATTCATCTAAAATATTCTGTCTTCCCCCACCCCCAGCTGTCACCATTACTTTCTATCCCTTTACTCTGTTTTGTTTTTCTTTATAGTTTGTAACATGTGCAAGTTCCATGAAGGCTGTGACTGTATTTTACATTACTTTATCTCCAGTTGCTAGAACATAGTAGGCAATTAATAAATACAGAGAGTGCCAAAGAAATGTATACATATTTTATACACAATTATACACAATATGGTACAGTTAATTGTATCAACTGTATTAATATGTATCAATATATACCGATAACAAAAGATGAATACCAGTCACGTTTGACTTCTGCAATTACAAGAGGTGCTCAAAGTGGTTACCATCAGCGAGCATCCAGGCACTTCTGATTACAGTGAACTACAACTGCTTGAGCATAGATAACGTCTCTTAAATTGTGTATACATTTTTTTGACACTCCCAGTATTTGTTGACTGCAGTAAGAGTGAACAAACTTGAATTCTATGTTGAATTTCCAGAAATAAATTTACGATGGCTCAAAGAAATGTGTAACATGCTAAAGGATAAAAATAAATAAATGAGCAACTCAGGGATAGCAATAGGAAAATACGATCAAACGAAGGTTAAGCTCAATACATAAAATGTGTAACATAAATTCCTACAAATATTGAAAACTGGATGGTATGGTTTGGTCAGTTTGTTAGTTGTCAAAGAAAAGAGAGAGATATAATTCATTGCAAAATTGAGAAGATAAAAACACGCTTGCTATTAAGGAAAAGGTGAGCTTTTCTGTTAGTACTTATTTCTCCGTTGGGTGTTAGGTAACGGGCTAAGGGCTCATCCAGTTGGTGGGCCTGTGTTGTATGCCATTGTGTGTTTACAATTTCAAGAATCTTCTAGGTGCTTCTAAATCTTTTTTTTTTTTTTTTTAGCTGAGCCATCCTGCTACTTGTTGGCAGCTCAGCGGCTGCTCAGCTCGGGCTGGACTCGAACTGCTGTTGCTCAGAGCTCAAACTCTTGAGNCAGCTCAGCGGCTGCTCAGCTCGGGCTGGACTCGAACTGCTGTTGCTCAGAGCTCAAACTCTTGAGTGAGCTCTTAACCAACTGAGCCACTCGGCTGGCCCCTTAAATCTATTTTTGAAAGGTTTTATTTATTCCTCACTTTGTTTTTTTCTTTTCAATGTGATCTGAGCTGATAAAAAATGTTTTTAAACAGAGGTATCCAAATTTCTTTATACCTCCCTCTTTCTAAGTTCAGTTTTCATTATGTAACTAAAGAAGTTAAAAAAAAATAGTTCTGTTAAAAAATATCTCTGCTTCAGTGGTTTTCAAGCTTTTACTTATTATGTATGTATTTTACCAAAATTGGTTTTATTATGAGGTTAGTCGATCTAAACCAGTACTTACGGATACTTTTCTACAGAACATTTTGAGAGTTGAGAGTTTATCTTGGAAATTGTTACCACTGCTATGTTTTATAACTTGTTGTCTGCTGGCCTTTCACCCACAGTGGTATTACTGATGACTTTGCTTCCCAAACTTTCGCAAATCACTGTGATAAAATTTAAAGAATGTTGATAAATTTTAGCAAAAGAAACACTTTTCCTGTTTTAATCTCAAATTTAGGGATATAATTTATTCCTAATTAGGAGTGCAGCCATTTCACCTCCCCTTAATTTTTATTTTGAGAATTTTTCAAGTACAGGAAAGTTTACGAGCAAAAGTTTATATAAGGAACATCTGTATACCCTTAACCTAGATTTAACAGTTTTTTAAACTTTTTTCATATTTGCATTCATTCTCTCTCTCAGTACACATACACACACACACACACACACACACACGCACGCACATGCGTGCAAACACAATTTTTTTTCTGAATAATTTGAAAGCAAGATAGCATGATACTTCACCCCTAAACACTAAAGATTTTTATTGGGAAATTGGGGGATGGGAACAGCCCTGGGGAATTGGGCGAAGGGGAACAGACAAGTTGCTGTCGTTTTGTTCTTCAGTCTAGTTGTGGAGGACGTTGCTTCACTGGCCCAAGTTGGCACCATCATTGTGCTCTTCCTGGGCGAGGCAGATCAGTCGCCTGCTTCTGGACGGCCGCTCACTGCGGCTGCTGGCTGCTCACGCTGGCTGATGGCAACCCACTGCAGCAGAGGCTGCAGCCTACACAGTTGCCGGCGACTCACGGCACCCTAGCTCCAAGTTGAGCTGTTGTTCAGCATCTTAGCTGTAGAGGGCAGTGTCACTGGCCCTCATATGTGGGATCCGAACCGGGGCCCTCTGGCATCCCAAGCCAGCTCTTAACCAATGCGCCACTCGGCCCCAGCATGTATTTCTTAAGAATAAGGGTTTTCTTCTTCATGACCACAATACCAACATCACACCTAATAAAATTTAACATCGATAGGGTAATACTGTATATATCAATGATTTATTATGTAACAAACCATTTTAATACTTTGTGGCTTAATACAACAGTGGTGTATTTTGTCTCATGATTCTTTTTTTGTCCATCTGGGCTCACTTAGGCTACTGAATCCACAAGTAGGAGGGCTAGGACTGGGCTCAGCTGGGATTAGAAGGATTTCTTCCCTTCTTAAATTTTAACTCTCGTTTTTGGCTTTGACTCCTGTAATAATCTTGTATCTTTAAAGCCTTACCAGAGCATTTCATCACAGTCTATGTTAACTATTCATCTGTAATATCTTTTAGGAATATCGTAACGCATGAAGGCAGCTGGGGGATATCTCATACACGGGTGCCAACTGAATCTCGGCCAGGTCACGTAGCCCTAATTGCTGGATTTTATGAAGATGTCAGTGCAGTTGCGAAAGGTATTGTCTATTTAGACAAGTTTTATTATGGAAAACTGACTAGGGAAATATTGCTTCTTTAACTCTCACTGAATCATGACACAGGTGGAGCATGTTTTGAGATACTTTCGACAAGTATTTTAGCAGGCCTTTCTCACATCAATACACACTGGTATTGATTCAAGAACTAAGCTTTAGTCTTATTTCCTCCTGTAATATTGAAAGAATATGATGGGATGGATCCATGTTTTCCTAGATGTTAACTCTCAAAAGTTCAAAAATAATTCTACATTTTAATAAGAAATAAATTATGTATTGTAAGCTTTTTAAAAAAATTGGTGGCATAATACATGTAACATAAAATCTTTTATTAGTTTTGCATTTGTTCTGCAGTTAATCCTCATTGTTTTATTTGAAGAATTCTTCTTTAGGGGCTGTCCTCATGCTTCATACCATGTATGTATTACTCTTGTTATTATTTGCTTTTTTTCCTCAATTACCTAAAGGATGGAAGGAAAATCCTGTGGAATTTGATTCCCTTTTTAATGAAAGCAAGTACACATGGAGCTGGGGAAGCCCAGATATCTTGACTATGTTTGCCAAAGGTAAGAGTCATTGATTATATTTCCTCAGATGGTAAATAGATAGTAAATCAATATGGTAGTTTTTATATAGTTCTTACTACATTTTATTGATTCTGAGATACATGTTTTAACACATTTAACATCCCTGAAATAGGGATGTGTGTTACAATAGACAGACATGTCAATTTGATTTTTCCTTGTTAGTTATACTTGAAATACTGGCATGTTATACAGTTGTTAGTGTCTTGGATTCAATGAAATGGTACATGGTTTTAACATTTAACAGCTTATAATCTTGGGCAAGTTAGATCATGTCTCTGAACTTCAGTTTTCTTTTTTGTAAATATGATGATTTTTACCTCATAGATTTAGTTTTGGATTAAATTAGAAAATTCATGTGGAATGTTCTGCAAAGTGCTTATCCCATAACTCCTCATGACCATGATGTTGATGTCTGGTTCATTTTACTTGGATAAACTATTAAGAAGTCGGTAGATAGTCACATAAAGATTTAAACGTGAAAATTTATATTTAGAATTCCTATTTTCATGTGTTCAAGATCATGCCATTTGGACTTGTAGTTTGTTTCTGTGCATGAATCTGCAAGCATTAGAACATCTCTAGATTAGAAAATTCATTTATGTTACTTCCTAAAATCACTTGAATTTTAATTCTATTTTTTATCATTAAATGCCTTTTAGTGGGAGCAGAATGATTGGTCATTTCACTTAAATGAAAAGGTTTTGTAACATTATATGTAGCCATGGGTGTAATTATAATAATTGGAATTATTGAAGATCATTATGTCTTAAAAGCAAAATACATATTCAGAATTTTATGTATGATACTCATAGAACATTATTATGTAGAGCAGGCCAAAAACCTGCAAACTTCTGTCCATTTATGTACTCCCTTCTTTGGAAAGTGGTTTAGCTTTTGTGGGGACTGGTGGTGGTGAGGATGGGTTAAGTTGCTATGGCTTACTCAACTTACCTTCCTTCTGGCTACAGTTGATAGGACAGGACCAATGCCTGAATCAGAGACAGTCCAATAGGAATGTTCCATTTCTTATGGTAACCAACAAACCCACTCAGATCTTTACTTAGGATGTGAGAGGCAGAATGGCTAAGCAGTGGAATAGTGTCAGTACCGCTAAGCTGATATTGTAAGAGATTGTCGTTTTCTCTCTTCCTTATGCTCTATAAGAGCGTAGCTTAGAAATTCACTAAGCTGATTAGATTCTTAATAAAATCTTGCAAATGTGTATGATTAATATATTTGTTTATCCCATGAAACTGTTCGGCACTAAGCAATATTTATTCCCTTATATTGAGAAATATATACATAGTCTATGAATAAGAAAAGTGAAATAGCTGAATTTTCTTCTTGCTTTAGGAAGTTTGTAAATTAAATGACTTTATCTATTTTAGATTATAACATCCTAACACAAAAAAATTTTTTGAATGGTTTAATCCTTATGGGGAGACAAACTTTGGTGTTTATTTTTATGTGTTAGCGTTGTCAGTTTGGCAAGTGAATTAACTTATGTGTAGTGTATCTGTAAAATTAAAATATGTTATTGTGAAAACAAAAACCAACAGTATGTGTTCAAGTACAAAGCATGGTACATAAAATAAATGTTAATTATTCCTCCTGCCTTTCTCTTCCCCATCATATTACAGAATGCTTTGTGAAAAATTCTGGTTACTCACAAAAATCTTTAAATGACTATTTCATATTTATGACAGTCTAAAAGTTGTTAAAATATTTTTTGTCTCCAAATTTCTTTTTCAGGTGCTACGGGAGACCATGTTTTTACATATAGTTATGATGCTAACGATGAGGATTTTGGTGCCCAGGATGTAACAAAACTGGATACGTGGGTTTTTGATAAGGTTAAGGTGCGTGCTATTAAGCGGTTAATGCACAGCACACATATTTCTACTTAAAGTGCTAGAAAGTGATTTGGTAGTAGATGTATCTCAATTGTTTTCTACTTCATGAACTTAAAAGTTCTATATTGTAGCAGACTATTTTTAAAAGACTGCATTCTAAGAAATTATGCATTTTACAATAGCCAACTAACAAGTTTTAAAAATAATTCTTAAAAAGATAACTTTTTAAAAGTAAGTATTTCTGACAATGAAATGAGCCCCAGCTTGGAATACAGTTAACCTGTATTCTATTCCTAGTCTGCTGAATCATGCTAGGTGAAACTTGATCTTCCGTTGACCGTAGAACCAGTCTCTTACAGTAGTGGCACCATGTGAGATGTGTGAAAGCCTTCTGAAATAATGCTGTTTAAAAAAACTCATAGACACAGACAATAGTTTAGTGGTTACCAGAGGGGAAGGGGGAAGGCGGAGGTAGATGAGGGTAAAGGGGATCAAATATATGGTGATGGAAGGAGACCTGACTCTGGGTGGTGAACATACAATGTGATATATAGACGATGTATTACAGAATTGTACACCTGAAACCTATGTAACTTGACTAACCATTGTCTCCCCAATAAACTTTAATTAAAAAAAAAAAAAAAGGAAAATGCTGTTTAAATGTAAGGCAATTATAATAACATAAAGTAGATTTATTTTTTTAAAAATTGTACTTTAAAGAAAAATTTGATAAGTAAAGACAAATGAGAAAATTAGTCATAATAATATCTATGCGTTTATTTAAGAAATAAGGTGTTTTTTTTAATATTTGGTAGGACAGTTATCACAGTTTCACCAGGAATCCAGTCAAAATTCATAAAAAATTGTGGGAATATCTCATTTGTGGCTGTTGGCTCTCCTTTTTATCAATCCATTGTTTCTCATCTCCAAATTACTACTCATAATTTATCTGTTTAACAAGCATTCATTGATTAACCTTCAATGATTCTTCTTTTTACCAGTGGTGTCTTTTGAACTGACATTTTGGACTTCTCCATAATGTAGTCATTTTTGTTAATTTGTTTGTAAATATACTCCTCAATATGTGTTTGCATTTTTCTTTGTATTTACTTAGCTGGAGTTAAGTGCTCAATACATTTTTTGATAAATCTTATTTATTTTATCAGGATCTTTCTCCTTGAAATTTTCTTTTTTCATTTAACATAGACTTTTGTCAACAGTGAAAACTTTCAAGTTAAATAAAACTTACTTTAAGAAAATAATTAGTGAATTTCTTTGCTAATTATAATTTCTTAATATAAACTACTTATGTTAGCCTCTGCTGAAAGGCCTTTGGCTTCTAATTTTATACATGTAACTAAACATGTCTGAAAATCACGGATTTGATTCCTTGTGGATAGGCAGCTATAGCTGGTGCCTTTATTTTAACATTACTAGTGTTGGGGATATAATAATGAACAGGAAAAAAATATTTGCCCATGACTTCAAAGAGTATGACACATATATATATATATGTCAAGTAACAACAAAAATAGTAAATCATCAACAGTGGTAAATACTGTGAAGGGAAAATATAGGGACTGAGAATATATCTTTAGAAAATCCTCATCTAGACTGAACAATTAGGGGAATGCTTTCCTGAGAATTTTTGAGACAATTTTTGAAGAAATACGCGAGACAAAGGTAAAAGAAGGATCTGAATTGCAGGTAGAGAGTAATATTTCAGACCAACAGCATTGGGTAAATCTTGGGCTCTGAAGGAAGAGCCAGCATGATGGATTTGAGGAACAAAAAGTGGGGAGGGGTTAGTGTGGCAGGAACACTGACTCGGAGTAGGGTTTAAGATCAGGCTAGAGAGGGAATCTTCCCTGGACTTTGTGGCCTGGACAGAAACTCATGCTTAATTCAAACCAAACAGTTTACAAAGCCATGCAAATTCTACTTCCAGTTTTTTTAAAAATTGTAAAATGTACATGACATAAAATTTGCCATCCTCACCATTTTTAAGTGTACAGGTTCAGTAGTGTTAAGTACATTCACATTGTTGCATCCCCAACCTCCACAACTTTTCATCTGGCAAACTGAAACTTTATACCTATTCAACAACTGTCCCTTATTCCCCCACTCTAGCTCCTGGCAACTGCTGTTCTACTTTCTGTGTCTATGTATTTGATTACTCTGGTTACCTCATATAAATGAAATCTTACAGTAGTTGTCTTTTTGTAACTGGCTTATTTCACTTAGCATGATATCCTTCAATTTCATCCATGTTGTAACTATTTGCTTTTTAAAACTCATTTCATTCATTATCTCCTCTATTAGGTCTTCCATGACTTCCCTTTCTTCCTGTCCAATTTAGATAACCCTCTTTATTCCCGTAAGGCTACTTAGTACTGTTTTATTTTTGGCTCTTATCAAAATATGTCTTCAATTTGCTGTATTTTATTTAGTGTTGTAAGATCTTTATGAAATTAAGATCTCCTGTCTATAGCCACTTTTTGGCCACAGAAAATAGCTTATTCTGTATTTGAGCATAGATGTCTCAACTGACAATAAGAACTTTGTGTTGGTAAGCCTGAGGACAAATTTAAACAAAATAAGATAATTTCATGGTTATGTATAAATTTAATGAAATGTTTTCATCAGAATTTTTAAATAAAATAAATGAACTAAATTTTTTTAACTGATTTGTTACATATAGGAATTCTTTCATGCTGCCAGAAAGAACCAGTCTTTGTTTTCTAAACTAAATGAAGAGAAAATAGTTTTTTTCTTACATTTATTAGGAATAGATACAAATGGACATGCTCACCGACCAACATCAAGGTAATTTTAATGCTGTGCTTAATTTCTTGTTTTTGAGGGAAACAGCAGTTTGTTTGAACTTTTAAAATATTATAATTTTTTTTGTCATTATCACAACAGAACTTATACTTTAAATAACTCTAAAGCAGAATAAGCTCTCAATTATATGAGATGTAATCTGATATAGTAGCTAAAGTCACATGTGCTGTGGCCACACTGCACATTGATATAAGTAAAATATAGCCTGTATTCTTCATCATCAAGGCCGAGAAAAAATTATAGATTTTAGAAATTCAGTAAATCTTAAAATAGAAAGCATTTTTATGGTGTTAATCTTCATATCACAAAAAAATGTAATTAGCTATTCCTTATGTGTTCCATTTTATCAGTATTGTATCTAGCAAATAATTGTATAAAGTTATGTATACTATATTTCAGTAGCTCTCCTTACATAGAATAACATATTTTTCTCACTTTTGCAGACCATAGCAAAGAGGAAGAATCCATGTTATACTTTTATTCTTTATTTTGAGTTTGGGTTAGATGAGTGTAACTGCAAAGCCTATCGGTTACCTGTCAGTAATGAAAGCCTCATGGTCCCTCCCCTTCTTTAACTGATAGCGTCCATGACAAACCAGCCACGTTCAGCAGCCTTGCCACTTTAGCCATGTTTAAGTGTACAGGTATGGAAAGCTTAAGTGCAATTTGCTCAAAACTTATCACAGCGCATTGCATTATTTTATATCACAAATGCTCTAAGGCATGAAAATATTCTACACTTGACACAGTGAGACTTACCTATTCATGTGGCAAAAACAATACGTTTTTCACCGTGAGAGACCTGAACTTGAAAGGCATCATTATTGCATTTGAGAGACTTCAAAAGCATTCATTAAAATGTATTTGCTCATCATTTCTGAAAACCATTTTTGAAAACTGTTTCAGATTCTTTTGCTTCTTTAAACAGAGAAAACATTATTTTTGATTAAAGAGCTCTGATTTTAAAATACTAAAGATGAAACCCAGAAGTATTTCAGGAGTTACTGACTTTGAATGTCACGAGTTCATGCTGAATAAATTTTGTTTTTCCAAATTAATGTAATTTAATTTCTTCTTCTGTTTCTTTTTAAACAGGGAATATAAGGACAATATTAAACTAGTTGATGAGGGAATTAAAGACATTGTGTCCCTACTTAAAGAATTTTATGGAAATGACGAGAAAACTGCATTTATCTTGACCTCTGATCATGGAATGACAGACTGGGGTTAGTCTTCCTTTAAGCAACATGCATTTGATGGTTAAAGCAGCGGTGACTGTAGCTTGCAGACATAATGTTGAGGAGGATTGCGTGTCTTAGTATATGCAAAGTGTCTAGCCCTTAATAAGTGTATGCTTAAAATGCTAGTGTAAAAAAGACTGCTCTTCCATAAAGAATCTTCTAAGTATAGAAGGAATATACTCTCATTTGAAATGAGCAGTTAGAGAAAAGCGGGGAGGAGAAAAGAAAAAGTACCTATTATGTATCCACCCAGGTTAATTGTCCACAAGGGCAGAGCTGGTGAGGTTAAGGTACTATTCTTGAGGGACCTGGGACTCCTGGAAATCTACCCTAAATGAGCCTGTGTTCCCTGTGAGATTCTCAAGGCAAACACAAGTGTGTGCACAGGGAACAGAATAAGGCAATAAGAAGGTTTGGGTCCGCAAATCACAACATAGCATTCTAGGGAGCTGGTTCCGCTGCATAAAGGGCTTTGGGCTGTACCAGCCAGAGTGGCCTGGAGCATCTAGAGACTATACTCCCCTCTCCAGAGCAGACCTCAGTGCTTGCCCCAGACTTGGGGGGGGGGTTACTCCCCAAAGGTGCTTCCTCTGTTTTTTCAGCCTTCGGAGCTACTCTGGTGGCATCTCCTCCAAGTAATTTATTATTATTATTATTTTTTTTTTTTTATTTCAACCAGAGTCATTCAACAGACATTCTGCCTTTTTTGTTGTTGTTTATGCCTGTTTGTTGTTGATGCCCTAACTTTCTTTGGAAATATTTTAAAACTAATTGTTATACAGAGTTGCAAGCATTGGGGTGTGTGGTGGCTAGAATTAACTATGGATGGATTGACTCTTTAAAACTAAGTATTTTAGGGCTTTTGAGCTTCATTTGCTCGGCCCGCTCCAAACCCTTTGGAGTGTACTTTCTTTTCTAATAATGGCCCTTGAGCCATTCTCTACTGCTCGGGCCCGCTTCTGCTTCTTTGAAATGTATTTTTACTTCTAATAAACTCCTTTTCTGCAGCTTAAAAAGAACCAAAAAACTAAGTATTTAAAAAAATAAGTTAGTTCTCATATACTTATTTCTCTTGGTGTCTTCTTTGTAGGTTCTCATGGGGCTGGTCATCCTTCAGAGACTTTTACTCCTTTTGTCGCTTGGGGAGCTGGAATCAAGTATCCCCAGAAAGTATCAGCTCAGCAATTTGATGAGGCACTTTTAAAAGGTATAAACATCTGTCTTTATTGTTTTTATGAATATAACATTTTAAAATAAAATCAAAGTTTACTTAAAAAATCATTTTTAAGTTACAGTTTTCCTTTTGATATTGTGTAATGACTTATTTCTATGTATTACTTTTGTATAGTTCATGTTATTTGGTTTATAATATTCAGCTTGAAATATATAGTCTCAGCTTTTTGCCTGACAAAATTTCAAGTATAAATTACACTATTGATTTTTTTCTCACATGCCTTATTATTACTGGGTTTTAGAAGACACCCTGAGTCAAATCTTACCTACAACTATCAGTCTTATATATCACACATATGTAATAATTGATGTTTCACAGCTGGACAGATTTTGCCCTATCTCTAGTACTTTTGAAGTCTCTCTGTGTTGCCTAAGCCTCCCTTCCTTCTCAGTCCATGAAGAAAGGAATTCCTTTTTGCTGGAGCTCTGCTTATTTTATAAGGTAAGGTTTTTTTCCAGAGTTCCAAAGTTTTCACTAATTGGACCAAAAAATTCCTCTCAGATGCCTTACTCCAGATTAGTTTCATCAGACTCATCCTAAGTACATGTGAAAAATACAGATTAAGGGCCTGCCGAGTGGCTCAGTTGGTTAAGAGCTCGCTCAAGAATGTGAGCTCTGAGCAACAGCAGTTCGATTCCCAGCCCGAGCTGAGCTGCTGCTGAGCTGCCAACAGGTGGCAGGATGGCTCAGCTAAAAAAAAAGAAAAATACAGATTAAAAAAAACAAACAGATTTCCAGACCTTGTCACTAGATATTTTGATTCCAAGAGTCTGGGTGAAGCCTAGAAATGTCCTTTTTAAAACCTTCTCCAGTGATTCGTACTCAAGCTGTGTTCAAGCATTTTTACCAGAGAAGACTCATTTTGGTTTGTATAATAGAATTTCCCTAGACACTTTCTTTCTTTTATTGCATTCATTTATTGATTGAGGTATAATTCTCATACCACAAAATTTACGTTTTTAAAATTGTATAATTCGATGTTTTTATTATATTCACAAGATTATGTAACACCCCTACTATCTAATTATAAAACATTCATAACCACCCCCCCAAAAAAACAAAAACAAAAACAAAAACAAACTCCTACCCATTACCATCACTCCTTATTCCTCCCTCTGCTCATTACCTGGCAACCATTAATCAACTTCGTGTCACTGGATTTGCCTATTCTGGACATTTCCTATAAATGGAATCAATCACTGTATGGTGTTTTGTGTCTGTGGCTTCCTCCATGTGGCCTAAATCCTTTCAAGTTTCATCTGTGTTGTAGCATGACTCATTAGTCTATTTTTTATAGCTGAATAATATTCTATTGATGTATATGCCATGTTTTATTTATACAGTCATGTTGGGGACATTTGGGTTGTTTTTACATTTTGGCTATTATGACAATGCTGCTATGGAGATTTGTATGAAAGTTTTTATGTGGACATGTGTTTTAATTTCTCTTGGCTAGATACCTAGAAGGGGATAAGTGGGTCATATGAAACTCTTATGTTTAATTTTTTGTGAATGCCAAACTATTTTCCAAAACCATTGCATCATTTTATATTCCTATGCTCTGCAGTAAATGGATTAGATTGGGTCTAAATACAAATTAGGTTAAATAGTATATTTGTACTTAGGAGATAGACCTTTATTTTGGCATTTGATTTCTTAGTGAATTAATGTTTTAGAATCACATGACTTCAAGAGTGATTACAGAAAGAATATAATTTTTCTTACATGAATATTAAGTATCTTAAGTTACAAAGAAAGAGAATATTCATTTTTCTTCCTAATCAGGTGATTAGTAGGAAATTTTAGTAGATGACTAGTAATACAGGGACTTAATTTAAACTTTATTAGCTTATTAAAGGATATTTCATCATAAAAATTTCTTAGAACCCTTTTGGTAATATATATTAAAGTCATTAAATCAAGACATAGCCTCATAATTATTTTGTTTACTGTTTATTTAAATTTCTGAATTTATATGTAGAAAAATAGGGGAATGAGGTTATTTTTGAAGGCAATTTTTATAGTAACTCACTGTACTATTTTAACATTTGGAGTTAAAGATGGTAGGACCACCACAGCTACTATTTTAAGTATTTTGTAAGCAATTCCCATTACAGAACAAAGAAAACTTAGATTGACTAATGGACTGTTAATTGCCTTATTAACTAACTCCCTGGGACAAGATTGTAATTAGTTGTAGTGATGCTAACAGTTGTTTTCATGTGCCTTTTGGTTCCCTATTTCCTTCCTTAGACTTTTGATGTTTTGAAGCAATTATATCCAAATGAGCATTTTGAAAGTTTAATAAATCATCATAGAAAACACCCAATATTTACGTTTTAGTTATTCTTTTAAAATTCTCATTTTACAAATAAACAGCACCCTTTTGGTTCATTCGTACTTGACTTAAAATAGACTTTTCCAATACTTGTGTTTTTCATTAAGCATTGACCTCTCATAATAATGAAATGATTCATTCTTTTTTAATCTTAATCTTCACATTAGCTTTTGTGTCTAATTGTGTCTTTCAGAATGTAAGTTGGAATACTGGAAGAGGCAAGATGTGAATCAGGTATTCATTTCAATTTATTTATGTTCAAATTTAATTTTATCTCCTATAAGAAGTTTAGACAAAAAAAAAAACAACTAACAAAACACTTGAAAAACAGTTTTTAATAATAACAACGATGATAAAGGATCTTTTAAAAATTTCCATAGGGAAATTTCTTTCAGTGCAAGTATTTTAACCCACATAACCTTTCTTTTGGCAAAATTTGAAAAATCCTCAAGTAACGCTGAGAGAAGACTCTTTCTAAATCATCCTAGCTAATTAAAGAATTATTATGTAAATTGAAATTTGCATGCTTGTTAAATTTCTGTGATTTCTTTTCATGGTTGCCTTGCTTAGTTGCTTTAAGCACAGCTCTAATAAAACCTCATTACAGGTTTCTTTCCTGTAGTATGTCAGTTACCGTTTCTTTTTTATTAATACACATTTATCTTTAATTCCACCCAATCTTTACAAAAGCATTGGGAAAAAAATGACAAGAGTATAGATTATCCTTACATTAGAAACCTTATTGTGGGAAATGCATGGCCAGCTTAATCAAGTAGTAACATTATCTGAAAATAGGAAGCACAGCATTTTCACTGTTTTGAAGATACACTGTGTAAATAGCCAGCTTCACCATTTGTAGAAGGCATGGCATCATTGATACATGGCTTCCAAAGTGGCAGGAGCATCCTGCCTTCTCCAGGTCACCTCATCAGCTGACATTCCTTACTGTGGTGCATAAACTGAGGTCTAAGATCTCATTTTCAGGACTGTAGCTGCAGAAGCCTGTTTTTTCTCAGCATATTATGAATAGTTTCTTCTCTCAGGATGGATGTGTATTAACCAAATAAATGAAAATGTATAAAATCAGAATAGCAATTTATTAATTTGCATGCAATAGAAAACACTGTCAAAAGGATAGGAATAACTTGAAGACCATGAAACAGGACATGTTTTACTTATAGCCAGACTGGGTTATAATAAAAAACTGAATATAGGTTCAGCCATCGCTCTCTCAATAATCCTACCTCAGATCTACATTAGATGAGAATTTCTCTGTTCAATTTTTCCATCAATATTTTGTGTGCGTGTAGTATTATTTAAACCTTGTGCAAACGTTAACATTAAACCATTAACATTGAACATTGTGTAAGGGGTATAATGGCGAATAACAGCAGACACAATCCCTGCCCAGGGAAGCTTATACTTTAGGGGTCAGAACAGATACTAATCAAATTCTTATACAAATAAATGTAAAATTGTAGCTGTGATGAGTACTACAAAAGAGGCCTGTGAAGCCATGAGAATGTGAGTGGATGTCTAGTAGTTCATCCTTATCCGTGGTTTTGCTTTCCGTGGTTTCTGTTGCCCACCGTCAACTATGATCTGAAAATATTAAATGGAAAATTCCAGAAATAAACAATTCATAAGTCGTAAGTTGCACGCCATTCTGAGTAGTGTGGTGAAATCTTGTTCTTCCCTCTCCATCCCACCCAGGACGTGAATTCTCCTGTTGTCCAGTGTCTCCACACTGTAGACGCTCCCTGCCTATTAGTCACTTAGTAGTTGTCTTGGTTATCCGATCTGTCACAGTATCACAATAGTTGTGTTCAGATAACCCCTATTTTACTTAATAATGGCCCCCAAAGCACAAAAATAGTGATGCTGGCAATTTGGATATGCCAAAGAGAAGCCATGAAGTATTTCCTTTAGGTGAAAAGGTAAGTATTATATATATAGGAAAAAAATATATATAGTATCTCTAGGGCTTGGTACTACCTGTAATTTCAGGCATCCACTGGGGTCTTGGAAGGTACCCCTGCGGATAAGGGGCAGTCCTGTATCTGGTACACTGTGTGGTCAGAAAAGGCTTCCTGAGAAATTGAGGCTTGAGCTGCGATTGGAAGATCAGGTAGAAGTTACCAGGCCAAGGTAGAAGGACGGCTCTTCAGCAGAGGGCCCGCTGCTCGTGCACAGAGCTCTGAGAAGAGGATTCATGGCAAATGAAGGGTCTTGAAGAAAGCTGGGGTACAGAGCAGCAGAAACTGGTGTGGTGTGAGGCAGAAGAATGTAGCACTGGACACACAGGGCCTGTGGGCCTTAGGGGCGTAACCCTCCAGCTTGGGAAAGCCCTGGAAGTGTTTGATGCCTGGAGAGGGACAGGATCTGATTTTTGGTGCAAGGATTTTTCTGGCTGCAGCACGGAGAACAGATTCGATGAGGCCAACAGTGAGTTCTGGGCGGAGAGGAGAAGGTGATTGGAGGCCCTTGGGGCTTTCCAGTTTTCCATGGGATGTTACTTAGTAAGGGACAGTCCAGATGGTGAAACAGGAGAAGGATTTAGACTTGGGACCAAACTCCCACTTCCAGTGGGGACTAGAGAAGGTCTCTGGAAAGGAGACCCAGTGAGACTGAGGACAACACGGGAGTCGGCCACACAGTACCACCGAGAGGTCAGGTAATTGTAGAACCGCAGCAGTGTCTGTAGCCTCCAGTTATTGCCAGGCACTTTTTAAATGTAATCTCACTTAATCATGCCATAACTCTGAAGGGAGAAACTTTTACTTCTTTTTTAACTAATAAGAAAACTGAGGCTTGGAAAGGTTAAATGGCCTGCCCAAGGTCTCAGAGATTATAAGCAAGGATTTGAAACTGGGCATGCTGACATCCAAGCACTTTACTGCCTGAAAAATTGTAAGGACTAATATAAAAACAGGCAGTTAGATGTAAAAAAATGGAGGTTCAGGGCCGGCCGAATGGCTCAGTTGGTTAAGAGCTCGCTCAAGAGTTTGAGCTCTGAGCAACAGCGGTTCGAGGCCAGCCCGAGCTGAGCAGCC